CTCTTACAACTCAACAAAAAAAAATTCTTAATTAAAAAATAGGCAAAAAATTTGAATCAATATTTTCCCAGAAATGATATGCAAATGTCCAATGAGCACGTGAAAAGCTGTTCAGCATCACTTGCCATTAGGGCAATTCAAATCAAAACTCTAACAACATATCATCTGCAGCCAACTAAAAAAAAAAAAAAAAAACCTGAAAAACAAAAACAGAAAGTAATAACAAATGCCAGCCAGAGAAACTAGACACTTGGGCGCACTGCCAGTGAGAATGTAAAGTGGTGCAGCCAAACCATCTTATGGAAAACTTTGTGGCAGTTCCTCAAGAAATTAAAAATAAAATTCCCATGTGCTCACACTTGTAGGTATATGCCCCAAAGAATTAAAATCAGGGTCTCAAAGAGGTATTTATACATTCATAGTCAGAGATGCATTATTCACGAAGGCCAAAAGATAGAGGTAACCCAAGTGTTCATCTCTGAATGAACATATAAAGCATGGCATATATATTCAATGGAATATTATTTTGCCTTCAAAAGAGAAGAAATTCTGACACATGCTACCAAATGATGTACCTTGGGGATATGCCCAAATGAAACAAGCCACTCACATAAGACAGACACTATTTGACCCTACTTCTGTGAGGTGCCTAGTGCAGTCAAAGTCACAGAATCATGAAGTGCAATGGTGGCTGCCAGGGGCAGGGGGGAGGAGGAAATGCAAAGTTATATAATGACTATAGAGTTTCGGTTTTGCATGATGAAAAAGTTCTGGCACTGAATGGTACAACAGTGGGAATGTACTTAATGCCGCTGATGTATGGTGGCATCTACTTAAAAATGGTTAATTTTATGTCGTATTTATAATTTTTTAGAAAGTATCTAGAACTGTAGTTATCAAATTTCAGTAAGCATAAGCATAACACAAGGTGTTTGTTAAATATGCAGATTCTAGTGCTCCTTCCCCAGGGATTCTGATTCAATAAAGTCTGGTTATGAGGCCCTGGAATCTGCATTCTGATAAACACTTCAGGCATATTTAGCCCTCTAATAACTCATTTATTTTTCTTTTCTAAAGGATCAGAGGACGTTCATTTGAAGATTTAGCTGTGCTAATCAGTATCTCTTTTTATAAAAAGTATGTTTATGTATGCAAACATACAGAGAGAGGAAGAAAAGAAGGAAGGAAAAAAGGAAAGAGGGAGGGAAATAAGGAGGGAGGGAGGGAATGAAGGAAGGTCGGGTTGACTCGTGTTGATTTTAGCCACAGATCCAACAAGATAGCCCTCCAGTCCTCAGGGAAATAGGGTACAAAGCTCCTGTGCGTGACCCCTGGGCTCCAGGACCACAGCGCTCTCATATATCTGCCTGGACAAGCTCCAGCTCCACATCTGACCAGAAAACCAAACACATGGGGTGGTGCCTGTGGCTCAAAGGGGTAGGGCACCGGCCCCATATGCCTGAGGTGGCGGGTTCAAACCCAGCCCTGGCCAAAAACTGCAAAAAAAAAGAAAACCAAACACATGCCCACAAGATGTTCCCAACACAGGAGGTAATGTCAAACACACCCTGCCAGGGTTCTGCCTCCCAGGGAGCCAGAGAGAGGAGATCTGACTTGGATGGTGCAGAGAAACTACAATTCTCAAGGGCAGCCCAGTGAGCAGAAGGCCAGGGAGAGCCAGTGGGGCCAGTGAAATGCCATCCAGGGAAGGCGAAGGAGAGGAGAATGGCCTGGGGGTGAGGCACCTGCACACCCCTGCACAACCCAACCACCAAAGGAGGCTCCGTGCACTCAACCGCAGCCAACTAAATACAGTGTTCTCAGCCCAACCACACACAGCCAAGTAGTCATTTGTTATCTTCATCATCATAATAGCACCTTTGACATTTCCCATGCTTGACTCCAATGTCTTGACTCTATCATTACTTTGCAGTGAGGCAAGGATGTCACTCTTTGAGCATAGAGCTCTTGCAACAAACTAAGTCAGAAGGGCCTAGGCCATTTGGATTCTGATCTCCCAGAAACCCATCTGCCACGAAACTAATAGGAGATTAAGCCCTTACCCCTGCACAGGACCTGAGAGGGCATCCAGCAATGTGTTCACATGGTTATGTGCTTTTGTAACACGTGCAAATGCAAGATATTCTTGTATTCTATTCTTTTTTCTTTCGAGACAGAGTTTCACTATGTAATCCTCAGTAGAGTGCTGTGTAGTCATAGCTCACAGCAACCTCCAACTCCTGGGCTTAAGTGATTCTCCTGCCTCAGCCTCCCAAATACCTGGGACTATAGGTGCATGCCACAACACCTGGCTATTTTTTGGTTGTAGTTGTCATTGTTATCTGGCAGGCCCAGGCTGGGTTTGAACCCACCAGCTCCAGTCTATGTGGCTGGCGCTCTAGCCATTGAGCTGTGTGCTGAGCCTTGTATTCTATTCTTATTGCCCCCAATAATAAATTTATAAACATCAGACCCCCCAAATCCAAATCTGCCACTGGAGGCTGAATCCCACTTAAATTTCCTAAAGATCATCATCTCCTGTTATGCCAAATGAAGTCATACACATTAGCTCATTCACCCTTCCTGACCAAATATGGGAGTAGGCTTTATTCTTAAGCCACTTTTACATCAGGGAAATGGGGATTCAGAAAGGTTTGGTGCCTTGCCTAGTGTCACCGGGGGTCTAGGAGGCAGCTTGAGATTCCAACCCAATCCCTAAATTCAAGCTCAGTGTTCTTTCTACTATACCATCACTTTTTAGTTATCCCATTAAGAATGAAATAGTACTCACGAGCAGAAAGGCACTTTAAAAATAAATAAGTTACTCTCCTCAATTATCAGTTAAAAAACCTTTAGTAATAACCAATAACTTGTACTGACCTCTTGCCATGTGGCAGGCACTGAGCTAAAACTTCTCTTGCAATATTTCATTTACTTCTCACCATAATCTTATGTGCAAAATACTGTCAGTTTCACTCTACAAATGAGGAAACTGAGACTCAGAAAAGGTCATTAATTTGTCAAAGAATACACAGTAAAGCAGGAAAGTCAAAACTTCAGCTGAGGTCCTATTTTAACCCTCTTGCACCATGGTGCAACATGGCCAGAAGTGGAGAAAGCCCTGCAGCAGCACCAAGGCAGGGCACAGACCATGCATTCAGCAGCTGCCTTTTGCTGCTATCAGGAGTGTGACCTAAAGGCCAGAAAGAAGGAATGAAAAATGGGGATTAGAGAAGATTATTTTAGTTTCAAATAAACCAGTAATCACCACATCAAGTACTTCACATGGGTCTTAGTGCCCGGGTCTCAGCAGAAGCCTCATCTCTCAGAGGCCCCATTTAAAGATTCTGAGTGGTGGCACAATATTTCAAGGTACCCACACGACTTCCAGCCAGCAAAAGGCATCATCATCTCCTGTAACTAAACTTCCAAGCATGCTGAGTTTTTCGGTTAGTCTAGCTTTCACAGAGCTTATCTTCTAACTTTTCTATGGCTTTTCTGGCGCAGCTGATAAGATTTTCCAGCCCTTTTAAAAGGAGATGAGATCCAGCCAGCTGTCGAGAAATGTACAATGAGATTATATTGAGAAGGAACCACCAGAGACAAAGGCCGTGAAGAGGAGCTGGCCTGTTGTCTGGTTTTGTGGCAGAAATTGGAGTGGGCTCTGGTTCTTGGGTGGGGGCAGGGAGCAGAGGAAGGGCAACAGCCATTTGCCGCTGCCTTTCTGTGGCCTTCCTCTGTGTCTTGTTCAACAGTCACATCTTTAATGGTGAGAAAGGCTGACAATTTAGAATAGTTGTGTGTTGATAACAAAGAGGATAAAGATGCTCCTGAGTCCACCTTCTTCCTCTGTGCCTACCTCTGAGGATCTGATGGCCGTGGTGCCACACCACAGCTTTTGTCCCAGGCTCTGTCCCTTGTGCCTCACTAGTGCTGGAGTCACCGCAGAGTGCTCATCTTCATTCCCCCATCCTTCCCAGATGAGTACTCTGGGGCTCATCTCACCTTGCAGGCAGGTGCCCTAGGCTTTGGGTGTCCTCTCTGCTGTGTCCAGGTCACAAAAATAAACAGCCCAGTTGATGCCTGAGGGTCAGGTGCACTTTAATCTCACCCACGTGACCACTGAGAGCTGGACCCCAGGCCAGTCAAACAACCTGCGCCCAGGTGGCCGCTGCGGCCTCAGCCCAGGTGGGAGCAAAAGGTGGCTTTCGGGAATCCTCACCTGCCCGGCCCTGGGGGCGCTGCGTGCGCCCGGGTCCCCCTGCTCCCTCCCGCCTCCGGTCACAGGGCCGAACGCAGGGACGAAAGGCGCGGCGTGCTCTGGGCTCGGCAGAGGCCGTCCGGGCCTGTCCCCGGGGCGTGCCGGGCACGGAGCCCGCAGGCCTCGGCGCGGCCCAGCTCCTCCCGTCCGCCAGCCCCTCGGCCCGGGGCC